CCGGCTGTTACTGCGAGGCTTTTCCTGTTATAGCTAAAATGCTGTGCCCCGGATCCGCCACACGAGGGCATAGTTGTCCAATTAAGGAACTTTTTCAAGAGAGGGTCACCATAGCCCTCACACTGCTAACCTCTCTTGGTGGTCTGGACAGGACCACAGTGCATGGAAGGACAGTCCCGTGGGGAGTCTATGAGGGCTGCAGACACCTGCCAGCCGAGGGGCTGATGTCAGAGCATCTCAGATGAAGCTGCTGCTTGTGACCTGGCACTCCGTATGGGTAAAGGTCCTGGCTGCTCTACTTTTGACTCGGCTCTCTGCTAATGTGCCTGGGAAAGCAGTGGAAGATGGCTCAAGTGCTTGGGCCCCTGCACTTGAAGTTCCTTACGAATGCACCTGCATTTGGATAGTGAACCAGCGGATGGATGATCTCTGTAAGTCTGCCTCTTAAATATGTCTTTAGAAAGAAAGGAAGAAAGAAAGACAAAGGAAGAAAGAAAAGGAAATCAAGCAGAATGCTGGCTCCTGGTTGCAGGTTGATAATTCATCGCTGGGTTCAGCAGCTCCTGAAGTGTTCTGGAAATAGACACATAGTCAAACCAGGAAGCGAGCCTCCTGGTCTCTCCGCTTTGTGGTTGGGGAGCCTGAGTCTCAGAGAGGCTGTGACTCCACCCGAGGATCACCCAGCAGGCTGCTCCGTGACTTCTGCTGTTGGGAGTGAGGAGGTCTGACCCCAGCACCTGTGACTGGAGTCGGAACGATGGTTTCCTGATCCCTTGGGGGAGTGGCAAGACTGGAGGGCAGCGAGCAGCCTGGGAGGCGCGAAGGCTGGGACAGGGTAAGGCCGTGGTTTGTGACGTCTCGGGCTGTGGCTCTCACACTGACTTGGACATTTCCCATGCTCTCCCCGGGCTTCCGTTTCCTCCTCTGTGCAATGAAGATACACCCAGTCTCTTCCCAGCAGCTCCAGGGGAACTGGAAAAGCTGCTGTTTAGGGGGAAATGTGCCTTTGTGCCGATAACCTCGTGTGTGTGTCCATATCTTCGAGTTCCCGGAACCCTGCCATGTCTTTGCGTTGATGTGTGATAAACATTGCTGCGATGGTGTTGTGTGCAGAAGCCTTGAATCGCTGGCTCTTACACTGCAACAAAACAAACATGCAAAAAGAAACAGGCATGAATTCAGGCTGGTTCATCTGTGCTGCATCCTGAATCTCCTAAGACAAAATCTTCCCCGGTTCGTATAGCTGAGAATCCATAAAGACCTTTTCAGCATATTTTAATTCACGAATTTGCATATTGGCCATGGAGAGAAGAATGCATGGGTGGCAGGTGAAGGAGGTGCTGCAGCCAGGGGCCAGGTGAGGGCTGAGAAGGAATGAAAGCTGAGCATCCCGTAACATGGATCCAGGCTCCAGGCAGGCGGGGGAGCCCTTGTTTTTCAGACCCTCACTGCCTGCTGCCTCCCAGGACCCACATGGGTGATGGGGGGGCTCACTATTGAAGTCCATCTTGAGAGCGGTTGCTTTTTTATCTTCGTGCTTTATGTAGTTGAGTGCTGTCCTCCTTTGTTTGAGAGGGAACCCCCCTCCCCACACACACTGCTGCTTTCAAGAGAGAAACCAATGTTCAATGCTTTGAGAGATTTTTTTTCTGGTCATTTAAAGAGAGAATCTTTGGGGTCCAGGATGGTGTGGCATTGGGCTTGCACCACTTGCTGTGCCGGCATCCCACACCAGAACACGTGTTGGGACCTGGCTGCTTTATTTCCAATCCAGCTCCCTTCTGCTGCACTTCGGAAAGGCAGCGGAGGATGGCTCAAGTGCTTGGGCCCTTGTACTCGTGTGGGAGACCCTGAAGAAGCTGCAGGCTTTTGATTCTGGGGTGGTCCAGCCCTGGTGGTTGTGGCCATCTGGGGAGTGAGCTGGTGGATGAAAGATATATTCCTGTCTCCCATGCTAGCTTTAAATACAATAAATGCTGTTTCTTAAATAGTCTGTTTAAAACACAGGAGCAATTGTGTTCACATGAAAATAGGCCCAAGAGTGAAGGTCATCACACAGGTAATTACAGGAGAATGCAACCATGTCTCCTCTGACTGCATAAAGCCATGCATGTCATGCCGTGTCTATATCATACAGAGAGGTCATATTCATGTCAATAGGAGCTCCAAGGCAGGAGAGGAGAGCCAGCTGTCACTTATTCATTTTTAATTTGAAAGGCATGTTTACAAAGAGAAGAAGAAGGAGAGAGAGAGAGAGTTTTTCTATTTGCTGTTTGATTCCCCCAAAGTCGGGAATGGCCAGAGCTGGGCTGGTCCAAAGCTGGGAGCCAGGAGCTTCCTTCAGGTCTCCCGCGTGGTGCAGGGACCCAAGGTCTTGGATCATGCTCCATTGCTTTCTCAATTACATTAGCAGGGAACTGGATGGGAGGTGAAGCAGCCAGGACTTGAACTGATGCCCATGTGGGATGCCAGCATCACAGGCAGAGACTTAATGTGCTATACAACAGTGCTGGCTCCAGGGTGTAAATTTTGTGGCCTAGCAGCTGAGATGCCCGCATCCCCCACCCCAGTTCTTGATTTTGATCTGGACTTTTTAGTGTTGGACAGTTGAGGCATTTGGGAAGTGAACCAGCAGATGGGAGCACTGCTGATTATAGCAACAAATGGATACACAAAGATTAAAAAGAGGTAAGCCATGTGGAAACTACGGTTGCTTTGTGCTATTTTCTAACTTTACAGGAATTACGGAAACATTTACTTAAACAGGGAACCTTGACATCAGAAGGACTAAGCTGAGCCCCGGCTTTGAGATGCAGCCTCACACGGTTTGGCTGCAGGGCTAGGCTCTGAGAAATGTATCTTTAAGTGATTCCATCACTGGGCACACTGCAGAGAGCACGTCTGGTCTTCAGTTTGGGTCACTGTGAACCAGGCCCCTCTTGGGGTTTTGCATCATGGCTTTTTGGGAAACAGGGCTTTGAATGGCATCTGTCACTTTGTCCTGGTCCTTCAAGTTCATGCCATAACTGCCACGAGAGACCAGGACAGGCCTGTCCATCAAGCAAGAACCACTGGTGGTTCTTGTAATGTCATACAAATCGAGTGACTCCATAAGCTGGTAACACAGTTGTTTAACCCTTCTTAATGCTGTGCTTTGAAATCACTCCTGTCACATTAGGTTTGTTTTGAAAAAGTGGGAAGGTGGCTCTGTGGCGCAATGGCTAGCGCATTGGACTTGTAGTGACAAAAAAAAAAGTGGGAATCTTTTTTTTTTTTTTTTCTTCTGCCAGGGTCATATGCGCCGTCATTTGAAGACCATGAAAATTTATTGAGTTTAAAAATCAGCCTGCTGCAGAGGTATTGGATTTCAAGTCCCACTTGTAGTTGCCTTGGCAGGGCCAGGTCACATGATTCTGCCAGCCTTCCCGGGCAGCGAGGGCCAGCTGTTCCCTCCCTCCCTGGAATAGTCATGGGTTTTGTGATGACATCAGTAGGTGATGGGAATCTTCCAGTCTGTCCTGGTCTGCAGGAGTGCTGTCACAGATGCCACCTACTGTCAATGGAAATGTCTCCAAATCGCCCACACTTAGGGATGCCGCTGGTTTCTCTGAGCCTCGCTTTCTTGATCAGAGGCAGTGAGTGGTGTAGGAGCTGACCTCGCTCTCTGCTTGCTGCCTCACCCTCTTTGTTGCAGCCTCGCCTGTGGGAATGCATCCGGAATTTACGGAGTCCCAAGGAGGTGAGACTGTCCATCTCCCCCGCTGCAGCCTGTCAGCTCGGATCCGTCAGCTCTGAAACGGCTGTCCCTCCACCTCCCATGTCCAGCGTGAGGTCACTGCTAGCTTTACTGATCACCGTGAGAGAAAAACACCAGCCGTACAGACAGGCCTTTATTAAGCAAGCAGGGCCTTTCCCTGCGCAGTGGAGAAGAGGGGACTGCAAGTGGGAAAGACAAGCTGGGTAGTAGACACAAAGGTTTTATACTCCCTCTGACATGGGTGCTGGCATCGGCCCTGCTTGGGCCCTGATAGGGCAGGGGATGTTGGCCTTTGTCCACCACCTGTCTGTGGCCTCGCCTGCCTTCCGGGCGTGCCAGTCTCTGGCTGAGGTCACTGTGGTGTCCACCCACTTCCTGTAACCGCGGTAACCATCACTCACCAGACTCCCATTCTCTCTGTCTTATCTGTCTGCCAGCTGCCCAGTTTTCATGGCACTTGGGATGCTTTTCCTGAATTATCATCTCTCTTCCATTCTAGGAAGCTTTTGAGCTTGTCTGATCCATCTCCAGGCTCTCCTAGGAGGTACCAAATCAGATGAGTTTACCGAAGGCATCAACCCCACATCCCCACAGCATGCTCATCCTTCTTGCTCCATAACCTCTCCTAAGATTTGACCCATGCCGGCTGTAGTGTATCCCAGCATTGTCAAGAATTCTTGGGAATCACCAGCTAGCTCATAAAATGTTTGGGGGTTGGCAGAGAGAATGCTACACAGCCCATAAAAAGGCAGACAAGTTTGGAAACAGAAGCAACAACAATAACAACAAAAAAGTAACAAAGTTTATGCCTTACTTTGGAGCCCCTGAAGTTCTAAAAAACTTCCCTCCTCTTCCTGCCGTGTTGTTTTGGTTTTCAGATTTCTACACGGAGCCCCCTTTGTTGAGAGGCGAGTTGCTGATCACAAAAAACAGACCACAGGCAAACAGCGCTTTCATATAAAATCTCTCTACTGCCTCCATAAAAGTTGCAACTTTCGTGTCAGTTTTGATTCTGTTCATTAACAGTCCTTGTTTCCTCTCTGGCGAGCACTTGGGACTATGTTTGCGCTTCTGTTGAGTTTTTCTCTGCCCGCTTTGCTGCGGAGGGAGGCCGGTTGACCACGGACCGCCCACCGGCCAGCGGAACTGACCAATCGCCCCGGGGCGGCGTCGCCATGGCGACGGGGCACGCTAACGCCAGCACGGTACCCGGCAGGCAGGCTCGCTGAGCGGTGCAGGGACCATGGCGCAGAACCTGTATGGCCCACGAGTGCGGATGGGCAACTGGAACGAGGACGTGTACCTGGAGGAGGTACCGGGGACTGGGGGGGTGAACGGGAGGCCTCCCGGCTGCGAAGGGTTCTCAGCACTGCCTGTTCTGCTCCCAGAACCCACAGCCCCATGCTCATCCAGCCCGCACACATCTGCATCCCAGCTTTTGTGTGTGCCCCGGTCAGGTCCCAGACGCAGGTGCCTTGGCTCTGGAGTTCCTGGTCTGCGCTTCCTCCTTGGGGTCTGCAGTCCCGCTTATCTGCTCTGTTCTTCCAGTTTCCAGGCTGCAGGTCCGACGAGGAGGCAGGCCCTGCTCCCTTCACCCCCCGCAGCCCACCCCGGGGTCACGCATGCTCTCCTTCAGTGTCCCCTTTGCTGGAGTATCAGATGACTTGGCGTGTGTCACCTAACAGAGGTGTCCTGTGGGCCCTGAGCCCCGCGTACACAGGTGGGGCAGGCAGCGGGGAGCTCCCCAGATCTCTGCCTGAGATCCAACCCTTAACGCAGTTCTCCAGGAACGCCGGCCTTTCCCGTGTGCCTCAACTTTTTTCTTCTGCTCTCAAATCGTACTTTTTCAACTTCTGGCCGCAAAGCTCTGTGCTCCAGGGGTCCTTTGCTTTCTCTTGCACCAGGAACGCATGAAGGATTTCCTGGACAAGCGAGCCAGGGGTCAGCTTCTCATCCAGCGAAACAGAAGACTCAAAAGTGCTCTTCTGAGACCGGTAATTCTCAATCCCAACGTGCTTTTCACGGTTCTGTCGAATGGACCGCGAGTAGATTCAAAACAGGAAGGAAAAAGTCCATGAGTTGCCATTGAGAAAATAAGAAATGACGTTCTCTTTTAAAAATGAAAACCACAGTATTTAGGATTCTTTAAGAATCAGACAAGAAACCAGCTCTTAACCATCGAGTCCCATGTCTTCAACTGCAAATAGTCTCATGGTGTGTACTACAAAGTTATCATAAGGGGCATGTTTGTTCCTCAATTTAAGTACTAAAAAAGATATTTATTTGAAAGAGAGAGCACAGAGAGAGTGGGGTGGAGACAGTGAAAGTGAAAGAATTTTCTGCCTGCCAGTTTACTCCTCAAATGGCCACAACCAGGACTGGGCCTAGCCAAAGGCAGGAGCCGGGACTCCATGTGGGTCCTCCACATCAAAGGCAGCGAGCCAAGTACGTGGGCCATTATCTGCTGCTGGATCAGAAAGTGGAGCAGTCAGGACTTGAACCAGTGATATCCTGACCTACTGTTCCACGGTGTCTGGGTATGGGATGATGGGACATAATGAGCTAATTGTGTTTAACTGCATTTTCCAAATAGAGATATGGGTGGATTAATACATGAATAAGTAGGATAAGTGTGTAAGGATTTTTAAAACGGATATTGAAGAAATTAACGACAGAGTCTCCTGGTGAGATTTCTACCCACTTCGTGGGATGTTGTTTGGGGTACTTGGGAACTTGCTTCGGCAAAGTGGAAGTGAAAGGGGCGGTGAACTTTGAGGGACTCCCAGTGCAATCCTTCCTGTGCTGGGTTTGCATTAGAGGATGGGACCTGGGACACCAGGGCTGATTTGAGAACTTCCTGTGAAAAATGCAGACACAGCTCTCCGTGCCAGAGGATGGCTACATCCATTTTGGCGACCATGTGATGCTGATGAATCCGGACTACCCCGAGACAGAGGCGGAGCTGGTGCTGGCTGGCGACCTGAGCCTGTGTATGACCCCGGATGAGATCAAAGCCTTCTTGAGCGATGAGTTAGAGGTGCCTTGTGGCTTGAGCGCGGCTCAAATCAAGACACCGGTGAGCAGAAACACCTTCGTTGTCTTAAGGTAGAGTGACCTTGGCGTTCGGATCGTTTACATCTGAAATATCTGATTACACATGCCTTGTACGAGTGCCCTGGGCTTGGGAGCAGGGCCCTGGGATGGAAGCCAACCTGGTAGGATTCTTGCCACAAGATACTCTCTCCTTTGCTTACTTGGAAAGCGCTGTCAATCTTTTCATTTTAGAGGGCGGCTCATTGGTATTTGCATACAACTCAAAATGCTGAGCTCCTAGATAATAGATGCAGGAGATTCAATGAATATCGTGCCTGGAAGCAAAATGGGTTTTCCAGAAACATCTTGGGAGCTCATTTGAATGCTTTTTGTTGATTTTTCTGTTGCCATGCATTTTTTTTTAAACATTAGAAGCAAGCGGTTTCATGCAAGGTGGCATTGCATGGGATCTGTTTCCAAATGAAATGTTCATTTAAAAATATAGTTGAGGACGTTCTGGAAGTGAGCCATGAACTTGTTTTTTTTTTTAAAGATTTATTTTTATTATTTTTTTATTGGAAAGGCGGATATACAGAGAGGAGAGACAGAGAGGAAGATCTTCCGACCGATGATTCACTCCCCAAGTGAGCGCAACGGCCGATGCTATGCCGATCCGAAGCCAGGAGCCTCTTCCGGGTCTCCCACGAGGGTGCAGGGTCCCAAAGCTTTGGGCCGTCCTCGACTGCTTTCCCAGGCCACAGGCAGGGAGCTGGAAGGGAAGCGGGGCTGCCGGGATTAGAACCGGCGCCCATGAGCCATGAACTTGTTAGATACAAATAGACACCTTGCTTTAAAAAAATGTTGCTTTCACTTTTTAATTTATGACAGTAGCGATTAAAGGAAGGGAGTCCCAGGGTGTGAGTCCTTCTCCCAGCTTCCTTTAGAATTCCAATCATTTGCTGGTAACTAAAGATAACTGCACATTAATCACAGTGTCTTTTCCTGAAGGCTTAAAGGAAAGGTGTGCAAGGTCTGCAGTTGTGTTTCCCTGTCTCAGAAGAGGGCAGTTGCTTCCTGGCCATCGGCTACAAGAAAATACCTTTCATGTAGCCATATTTTGAAGATTTTTTAAATTTGAATGGCAAATCTTACACAGAGAGAAAGATAGCGAAGTTTCTCTGCTCATTGAGTGTTCCATGCTGGTTCAGGGTCCCAAGGACTTGGGCCATCTTCCCACTGCTTTCCCAGGCCATAAGCAGAGAGCTGGGATCAGAAGTAGAACAGCTGGGATACGAACCGGCACCCATGTCGGATGCCAGTGCCGTAGGGTAGAGGATTAGCCTGTGTACCAGTGCGCCGACCTCTGTGTAGTCATTTAAGGCAGTAATGATGTGTGAATGTACGTTATGGAGGAGACAGAGGATAGAACTGCATGCTGCAAAAACAGAGCTGTATGATGAGTCTCCCACAGGGGCTCATGTGTCTGCTCTCCTCTCACAGCGCTGGAGGGGATGCCACGGCCACTGGTGAAGTCCTTCGCTACGGGCAGAACTTCTGCCTCGGGATAGCAGGAGGCGTTGAGAACACGATGGTGAGTGCTCGCTCGGAAGGGCCACAGTGGACCGGTCACTTTGGTTTCAAGAAATGGGATGGCAGCTATCAGCTGCGGTGGTCAGGGACCCTGCGTCCGTGGACCCCCTCCCTGGCTGCATTCTGGTTTGAGCCATGGCTTTTCCAATGCAGGTCAGGGTCTCTTATGGTCTCCCCGCTTTGACAGTCATGAAACATTATCCTGGAGGACACAAGACTAAGGGGTGGGCAACCTTTCTGTAAAGCAGCTGGCAAGAGGCAAAACTTGGCATCATCTCCACCTATAAATTAAATGCCTGGATCAATGAATGATTATAACACCTTCAAAGGTCACCAAGGCTAGCTGGGAAAGGTGTATGAACTAGATGAGCTTTTTTCTTAAATATTTGAACAGTCTTCCATGCATTTTTTTTTGAAGAAGATTTACTTGACAGGCAGAGCAATAGAGAGGGAAAGACAAAGACAAAGTCTTCTGTCTGGAAGCAGAGCAGGTAGATCTTGAACGAGCGTCCCATGCTGGGTGCTGGTGTCACGAGGCTCAGCTTATCCTGCTGTGCCCGGTGGTGGCCCTCCCATTTTACATTTCTGCATTGGCCATCACTCTGTCGCTTGCCACCTGTGGTATGCCATAGTTTAAGCCAGCAGCACCTTTCTTTCCCCTTATAGTACCAGGTCAAAAGAATCATGATAATAACGTTACAATAACGTTACAATCATGAAATCTTAAATTCAGTGGAATATATCACACAGTGCACTGATTGGTTGAGGGACCTGAGGCTGAGTCACTCAACTGCTTTGTGCCTCATTTTCCCCATCAGGAGAAACAGAGCAAAACTATCCCTCCCTGATGGAACTGGTTGGAGCACTAAACGAGGCAATACACGGGAAGCATTTACAAAGGAGTCTTCTACACATTCATAGAAAATGATCAGTCTGTTCATTGCATTTACCCGTTTTTTTTTATTGTTGTTTGTTTATTATTTTAAGATTTATTTACCTTCATTGGAAAGGCAAATACACAGAGAGGAGGAGAGGCAGAGAGGAAGATCTCCTGTTTACTCCCCAAGTAACTGCAATGGCTGGAGCTGAGCCAATCCAAAGCCAGGAGCTTCTTCCAGGTCTCCCACAAGGGTGCAGGGTCCCAAGGCCTTGGGCCGTCCTCGACTGCTTTCCCAGACTGCAAATGAGGAACTGTATAGGAAGTGGGGCTGCCGGGATTAGAACCGGTACCCACATGGGATCCTGGTGCATTCGAGGCGAGAACTTCAGCCGCTAGGCCATTGTGTTGGACCCTTTCCTTCAGTTTTTAAGCATGCTCGAAAGAAGGAGGTAAGAGACTTCTCTGTATTATAGATGAGAAACAGACCCAAAAAGGTTCAGAAACTTCCTCAAATTTCCATCCCGTCGGTATGCACCTGTGGCTCAAACCCTAACTTCGCTGACTCTACAATACTTCCTTGTCCACAAGGCAAAAGCGAACCTCAAAGACCCTTACTTCCTGACCTGGGTAAACCTCACCATTTCATGTTGTCCTCCCACAGTCACAGGTTGGCATGATGGGGCGGTGTGGGTTAAGCCACTACCTGTGATGCTCCATCACATATGGGAGGACCAGTTTGAGTCCTAACTGCTCCACCTCTGATCCAACTCCCACTAATGCACCTGACAAAACAGAAGAAGAAAGCCCTGATGCCTGGGCCCCTGCACCCGTGTGTCTCCCCAGCCCTCGGGGTGGCTGGCTCTCGGTTTACCTGAGCACTGTTGTTTCCAGTTATATTTATCGAGTGACCACAGGACCCTTTTGAAGTCATCCAAGAGGTCGTGGCTGCAGGAAGTGACCCTGACTGATGAGGTCTCCCACCTGAACTGTTGGCAGGCTGCTTTCCTCGACCCCCAGCTCCGGCTAGAATATGAAGGCTTCCCCGTCCCGGTGAGCGTGACCAGGGAGGATGGGGTGTTGGAATTGTGGGCGGGGACTGAGAGGGTGCTCTCATGGCTGCAATGCCCTGGGCTACTTGGAGCTGACCTACCAGGCAGGCACAGGGCATGACCCATCTTGTCCTGAGCCAAGGACTTAGCAGTTCAAACAGGTGGAGAATGGGGGCTTGTGGGAAGAGCTCACTGGGCCAGTGTGGGATTGGAGGAGTCCCAGAGCCGGCCTGCTGAGCTGGCCTTCCGTGGCCACAGCTCCCTGTCCAGGAAGTGACCACAATCACGGGCCAACCTGAATCTACCTGCCGGAGGACTCTGAGTTTTGGCTTCTTTCTCTGAGCTTGGCGGCCTTGTATAAATGTGCATGTTATACACACAGAAACGCATACATGTACACGCAATGCAATATAATACATACACACACCCTACACACATCTATTACACACACAACACACACACAATATCATAATACACACATAAACATGGAACATATGTGTGCACACACATACACATACAATAAAACACACACATACACAATATACATAAATATACACTTTCACACATATGACACACACACTCAAGGAACAGTTCCTGGCGAGTGGAATTACAAATGTATGATAGTGCAAAAAATTTCTGCACATTGCAGGTTTTCCAAAAATTCACAGAAAATGTGCCTCAAGAAAAAAAAAATAGGTAGAAGTATTTCACATGTTTTTTCTGCACTTTTTAAGTCCATATTGCATGAATTTTTAAAGTGCCCTTGCGAACATCCTCCCCGGCCCCGATCTTTTTAAGCTGACATGACTCTAGATGGTTCTGACTTTGCGGACGCTGGAGGCTGCATTCTGATAACACGTCTCCTTTCCCTGAAAAGGCCAACACGAAGCTGGTCATCAGCCACTGCCACACGAACCGGGCACTGGCGGCCCACCGGCATCTGTTTTTAAGGTACTGTCTTCCTGGGCATGCACAAGACTGGCATTGGTCTCCGGGCTGTGCGTATAAGTAATGGAATTTAATGAATCATTTTTTTTTTAAAAAAAAGGCTTTATTTATTTATTTGAAAGGCTGAGAGAGACAGAGAATATCTTTCATCTGCTGGTTCACTCCTTCACTCCTCCAACACCCGGGCCAGGCTAAATGCAGGAGCCTGGGACTCCATCCAGGTCGCCCACATGGGTGGCAGGGACCCAAGTACTTGGACCATCTCCCATGGCCTTTTCAGGTGCATTAGCAGGGAGCCGAGCGAGAAATGGAGGGGCTGGGACTCGAACTAGCACTCTGATATGGAATGAAGGGGTTTCAAACGCTGGCTTGACTTGCTTTCCCATAATCCACCCCAGGACTTCAATTTCAGGGATATAACCACACACACACATATAAATGTCCTTGAATGATGAGCTGTTGTTATATAGAATATTTATAATGAGAAAACTCCATGGAGTCCCCCTTTTCATTGATTGATTGATTGATTTGAGGGGCAGAGAAAGATGAATAGGGAGAGAGAGAGAGAAAGCTTCCATCTTTTGATCCCTCCAGTGGCAACAACATCTGTGATTCGTCCGGGCCAGAGTAGAGCATCAGAAACACCCTCCAGGTCTCTGGCAGCAATGCAGTGACCTGAGGTGTAGCTGCTGCCTCCCGGAGCCTGCACTGGTAGGATCTGGAGCCAGGGGCTCTGATGTGGGGCCTAGCATCCTAGCTGGTGTCCTAGCTGCCAGGCCAGACGCCTGTTCCTGGACACCCTGTTTTCCACACGTCCTTCCCAAGACCACCCTCCTGTCCTGATGTCTGTCCAAAGCACATGAAATTCCCTGCAGTTTGTACCCAGCTTCTGGCCTCCCTGGAACTTCCAGGATGAAACCCATAGCTTTCTGGGTGCTGTGAACTCCATGTCCGACCAAAATTCCTTCTCTCTTGCTCCAGCACCTACTTCGGGAAGGAAGCTGAGGTTGTGGCTCACACCTACCTGGATTCACACAGGGTGGAAAAACCCAAGAACCACTGGATGCTGGTGACCGGGAATCCCAGGAATGATGCGTCCACCATGCTGGATCTGCCCAAGCCACCGGCCGAGGACACCCGAGCCGTGGAGCAGGCCATGGGCCTCAACACGCAGTAACACACCTGGCACACACGTGGTCTCTGGGGGCCCTGCTGTCATCACACATAGCTTACATGGGAAAGAAACCGCCTTAGTCACATCTCAAAATATCTTTCAGTGAAGTAGAGAACTCTCTGGATATTCTGTTAAAGCGAAGGCTGTCTGTAGATTGTGGGGTTAGCAGCTCTGGGAAACACACAGTATTTGAAAATGGCTTGATGGACTGTCCGAAGAACTCAGCTGCTTGTCCTTCAGCCTGCCAGCCTTGGCAAAAGAGATAGATTTCGGGTGCCACCCTGGAGGCAGGGTACCACCAGTTCCCCCTGTACTCTGCACAACCCGCTGGGGAGTCCATGGCGTGTGGCTGTGAACTGTGGCCTTGTGAGACGGCCCGTGTGTTGCTCCCGTCTGGCTTAGGGTCAGGTTCCTCCCTGTCCCCCACCCCCAGCCTGGAACCTGCCATTGTGTGATGATTGACAAGCTGCAGAATCCTCCTGTCTCTAGCTCATCCTTGAAACTCAGCAGCCGTGTGATTAGAGAGCTCCTAGCAGAATAAATGCATGTCCTCCCACTTCCTGCATCACCTGGGCATTGTTTGCTGAGCTCTGTGCTGTGTCTTCTGTTGGGGGGTGAGGCGTCCCCTGGCCCATAGGCACATGCTGAGCAGAAGGCTGATTCACAGACAAATAGATGAGAGGCAGGAAGTGGGCCTCGATGTGTCCTCCAGTGAGTGCTGCAGGACGGTGCGAGGGCGGCCCTGCCCTCAGCAGTACTCGGATGGGCTCCATCCTGGGCGAACTTGACAATTGCTGATGCCTGAGCCCCAGCCCGGAGAGGTGCAGCCTGGACACTGGGCTTGCACAGATGCTTCTAGCACGCCGTCAAGGTGCAGGCCTATAGCTTGGGCAGCGGGGGAAGGAGCTGGTCCCCGGGGGCTGTCGGAGATGGCTTTTCTGGCCGGGTAGCAGAAGCACATGGAGAGCAATGGAGGAGCTGAGCCCATCCTGTCCTCCAGGCCATTCATTAGTGGGACTGCGCTTCACACTAGAGTCCTGCTTCCGATTTGGAGTTCAGTCCAGGCATCTGTCTTTTATTAATTTAAAACTCACTCACCTATTTATTTTAAATTGATTTAAGAGATACAGAGAGCTAGTTCAGGCCCTGAACCAGCAATGGCCTGGATTGGGCCTGCCTGGTGCCAAGAGTCAGGGACCCAACCCAGGTCCTCCAGGGAGGTGGTGGGAACCCGCCCAGCTACTCAAATCATCATGTGCTGACTACCCCAGGGTGCGCACTAGCATGAAACTGGAATTGAGAGTGTAGCTGGGACTCGAACCCAGGCCTTCCAATATGGGATGGAGGCATCCCAAGCAGGGTTTTAGCTGCTGTGCCAAACACTTGCCCTGCCACCTTATTGTGAAGTGCAGCTGGGTTGAGAGCCACGGGGAGGACAGTTAGGTGTGTCTCCAGAGCTCTGGACTGGGGCCAGAGGTAAGTTGGGGTTCTCCCTGGAGAAAGCCTTCGTTACGAGGCTAACCTCTCTGGCTTGCTTCTGAACAGCTGTCAGTGCTTCAGCTCTCACAAGCCTGCCTCGCCTGATCCTTGGGGGACTTGCGACTCAGTGAGCGGCTTTCAGACCGCCAGGAGTGAGGGTCACCGACCACTTGGTGCACAGGTGCAGTCAGTGACTGACAGCAAGGCCACCACCTGGCTGACCTTGACTGTGAAGGACCTCACTTGAAGGCACACGCCCCGTCCAGGGAGGGTAATAGAACAGGGATGCTCTGTGCGGCTTGGATTAGAAGCAAAGCAGCCAATCACCGAGTACCGAGAAAGCACCTTACACAGTCGTCAAAAAGTTTTTACGCTTATTTAAAAAAAGTTGTACATGTCTGAAAGGGGCAGGGCAGGAGAGAATTTTCCGTTCAGTTTTTTGCCAGATCATCACAATAGCCAGGGATGGGTCAGGGACTCCTCAAGTGAGTGGCAGGGACCCAACACATTTAAGCCATCATCTGCTGCCTTTCAGGCACGTTAGCTAGGACTTGAGATGGGAGCTGAGGAGCGGGAAAGGGCCCGAGCCTACCTGAGCACGGGAGTCTGTGCTTGCAGGGCACCGTAAGCAGGTGCCCCCCCCTCGCCCCGCCCCGCCCCAGCACTCCACCGTTTGCAGCAGCTGCAGGGATAGGTGGGGCCTGGCGGAGGAGCTGATTAAGGAGGCCTTGGGCCTTGGGCACCAGCTTCTCCCGACAAGGCTGTGCTGTAGCAGCACTCCCGCCGTGCCCCTCCCTGGTTGGACGATCCAGGACCCAAGGTGCTCCCTGCAGCTCCTACCAGCGCATCCCTGCTCGCCCCATACAGTCCAGTAAATGAAGAGTTAGTGTCTGGCCTTCCAGAGGGCCTGCAGGACCTGCCCCATGGTTGGGGTCCAGGGGGAGGACTCAGGGTGTTGAGTTTCAATGTCGTCTTGAATGGGATGGGCAGCCTTTGCCTAGACCCTCAGGAGCCAAGTGGCCCGATTCCCCCTTAGAAGATGCATCAGAGAGGCTCTGGCTGGAGGCAGAGCAGGGAGGCAAGGGGAGGAGGACGTGAGCTGACCCCAGGTGAGGCCCTGGGGCAGACGCTCGGATCTAGGAGGGTGTGTTTGTCACTGAGAGCAGGTGGATGCTGACTGTCCACCTCAACCTTCAACAAGGACCTGGGAATGCAACTGGACTCAGGTAGTTCCTGCAGGTTTTCTTTACTTTTTAAAAAATGTGACAAAGTGTGAACCTTGGGAAACTGTGGCTTCTGCTTTGAGAAGTTCTAATTTTCATTTCAAAGTTTGAATTTCAGACTGAAGGAGCTCGTTTCTCACCTGCTGATAGGACGTTGCAATGCTCCCAGGTGGCCACACTGTGGCAGTGTTGCTAAGGCCAGCCAACCAGTGTTGGCCGGCACTCAACGGTGGAACTAAACGGTTTTTGCGATGTTATGGTTAGTGGTGCCTTCCGCCTGTGACTTTACAGTGGCCTGAAATTACATCTTTGCAAAAATTAACGAAAGGAAGCAAGAAGAAGAAGAAGTAAAGAAGGGTCCTATGGAGGAAAATGTGAATATTTTCTTACAATTGTGCAGATGAAATACGTTGAAATCAGTTCTCTTTATGGTCTTAAGACTTGAAAGAGACAGGAGCTTTCAGTTTTTAAAATGTGCCTTTTAGGAGGAGAAAAACTGTACAGGCACCAGGTCAGGGTATATTGATTAAAAGAGGGATGGACCAGGCAGGCATACGGCCACTTTTAGCAGAGCTCCCGGGAGGGCTGTCAGAACGTGGCACCTTTGGGAGTTGCATGCATGGACCTCCCACTGGGGGTCTGGAGTTGCCCCCCTGGGGATGTGGTCTCCTGAACTCCGGGGGTAAAGCATTCTCTTGGGGTTGATGAGGAAAATAAGCCAAAGGGGTGAGAGGAGGGTGGACGCCCATGCCCCGGGGTCGGGCCGCAGGACAGGTGGGCACACACATCTCCTGTCCTTGCAGGCATTAGGGCCTCATTCACTCACAGGTTAAAGGAAACATGACCCATCTCGTAAGTGAAGTGATGCCTACTTACCTCTAATGCACATTTTTTTTTAAGATTTATTTATTTTCATTGCAAAGGCAGATATACTGAGAGGAGGAGAAACAGAGTTCCTTTTGACTGATGGTTCACCCCCCAAGCAGCCGTAATGGCCGGTGCTGCGCAGATCTGAAGCCAGGAGCCAGGAGCTTCTTCCGGGTCTCCCACGCGGGTGCAGGGTCCCAAAGCTTTGGGCCATCATCACTGCTTTCCCAGGCCACAGGCAGGGAGCTGGATGGGAATCTAGGCCCACTGGGATTAGAACTGGCAGCCATATGGGATCCTGGAGTGTTCAAGGAGAGGATCTCAGCTGCTACGCTATGGCACCAGGCCCTGTCGTGCACATTCTAATTGGCCAACCTTTCCACTCCACACTGCCATGAGCGCCGGGAGGGAAGAAGCAGCCACCCGAGCCCATGCACGAGTGTATCGCTGCAGCTCATGCGTCCATCAAGGACACAGCTCGCAGTAAGGAGTGTCGGCGCTTGCACAGGTGAAGTCAGTGGGAAGTGTGGAAGGGAGACCCGAGCCAGCAGGGCGGAGCTGCGTGAATCAGGGAGCAGGGGTCGGTGCAAGGGGACCTACCCTCTTGGCTCTGGTCTGGAGCAGCAGCTGGAGCCATGCAGGAGGACGGAGAGCCAGCCTTGCTGTAAATGCATGCGGAGGGACAGGGCCGTCACACTCAGAGAAATAAGCCAGGCGCCATGGGATGCCACTGACATGTGCAGCCTCAGCAAGCTGAACTTGCAGAAGAGTTGGGGCTTACCAGGGGCAGGGAGGATGGGAAGTGGGGAGGCATTGCAACCCAGACTACTCCTTTTCTGGTGCCAAAAGGAGCCGGAATAGGGGCTGTGACAATCGCCATCCAATGTTTATGCACGCCGGATCCGTTGCCTCATTTACCTTGTCAGCTGCATATTTAACAAATACACACCGGGCCCGGCGCGGTGGCGCAAGTGGTTAAAGGTCCTCGCCTTGCACGCCTGGGATCCCATATGGGCGCCGGTTCTAATCCCGGCAGCCCCGCTTCCCTTCCAGTTCCCTGCCTGTGGCCTGGGAAAGTAGTCGAGGACGGCCCAAAGCTTTGGGAACCTGCACCCGCGTGGGAGACCCGGAAGAGGCTCCTGGCTTCGGATCGGCATAGTATCGGCCCGTTGCGCTCACTTGGGGAGTGAATCATCGGACGGAAGATCTTCCTCTCTGTCTCTCCTCTCTGTATATCCGCCTTTCCAATGAAAAAATAATAAAAATAAATCTTTAAAAAAAAAAAACAAATACACACCAAGGAGCAGGCGGAGCTTGCTGCCCTGGGGATCCCAGAGAACCGGGTTTGTGGGTTTGCCTCCGTTCATCCCAGACTGCAGGTGCTTCAGGCACAAGGACTTGGTCACGCTCAGCAGCTCTGACCACAAGCTGGGCAGGTTTCAGGGCAAGATGCCCAGTGCATATCCAGCTGAATGTCAACCAACTTCGCCCACGCCCTCCCTCTTGGATGCCCTTGATTCTTGCAGCTTCTCCAGGTCCCCATGGGCAGCCAGGCTGCACGACACCGGCAGTTGTACGCTCTGCCCTGAAAGCTAGGCTGCCCGGTCCATTAGACTCCTCCTCCACATCCTGGCACCCTTCATCCATCCTCTGCATTTGAGTCATAAACACCCCACCATCCTATCCCCCGTCCTGGGCCCATCTCACCTCGGCCAGAGCTTGTGTCCTCCATGCCTGGCTGTCCCAGGCTGCTGGGCAAACCTCCTCCCTGCTTCGTCTCTGTTGTTGTTGGCTGCTGGGAACAGCACTGAACCCGTGCCAAACATCTGGTCACATCTCCCGAGAACAGCCAGGCAGGAAACAGCACCGCCCTCGGGCTGCACTGCCAGGGCCCCAGGCCTGCCACGCCAGGACACCACTGGCCCAGGCTGGCCTGGGGACTGATGATTTACCCCCTTCCCCCTACCCACCG